TCCTCCATTTTGGTCAGGCTGGTCTTGATCTCCCGACCTCAGGTGATCTACCTGCCTCGGCCACCCAAAATGTTAGGATTATAGGCATGAGCCACCTCGCCCCTGCCTGGTGTAATCTTTCTGTAATCTTTTGTAATCTGTAAAATGCAAATAATATCTATCATATAGGATGATTATCAGGATTAGAAATAATCTATGAAACACTACTGACATGTATTAGGCACTCAATAAATAGCACCTATTTTCATTATTTTTATGGAAAGAGTGGTAGATTTCACAAAGTAGAATAAAAAATTAGACATGATCAAAAAAAAAAAAAAAAAGAAAAGAAACAAAAATTAGACCTGATCTCAAGACTGAGACTCTTTTTTTTTTTTTTGAGATGGAGTTTCGCTCTTGTTACCCAGGCTGGAGTACAATGGCAACCTCTGCTTCCTGGGTTCAGGCAATTCTCCTGCCTCAGCCTCCTGAGTAGCTGGGATTACAGGCATGTGCCACCATGCCCAGCTAATTTTTTGTATTTTTAGTAGAGATGGGGTTTCACTATGTTGACCAGGATGGTCTCGATCTCTTGACCTCGTGATCCACCCGCCTCGGCCACCCAAAGTGCTAGGATTACAGGCATAAGCCACCACGCCCAGCCAAGACTGAGACTCTTAAAGAGGTAGGCAACTTTCAAAAAATTTATCAGAATGCAAATAGGTAGGGCATACTTGGGGGAAAAGATTTATCAGAAAAATAGATTTACTTGACCCATAGCATTGCACATATTGTGGTGCTAAGTACACATTTGGCACAACTTATCTCTTTCTTCTTAGCCTTCCTTTGCTTACCTCTGTAACTGCAAGTGATTCTAATGATAAAGAAAAGGTATGGGAGGAAAGTATTAGTGATATAAAGAAGTTCTCTGAGGCCAGGTGCAGTGGCTTCCACCTGTAATCCCAGCACTTTGGAAAGCCAGGTGGGCAGATCACCTGAGGTTGAGAGTTTGAGACCAGTCTGACCAACACGGTGAAACTCTGTCTCTATTTAAAATACAAAATTAGCCAGGCATGGTGGTGCATGCCTGTAATCCCAGCTACTCCTCGGTAGGCTGAGGCAGGAGAATTGCTTGAACTCAGGAGGCAAAGGTTGTGGTCAGCTGAGATTGCACCATTGTACTCCAGCCTGCGCAACAAGAGTGAAACTCCATCTCAAAAAAAAAAAAAAAAAAAAAAAAAAAAAAAAGAAGTTATTTGATTACCTAAAATTATAAAAGGTTGAGAAACAAATATAACACCCACCTCTCCAGGTTTTGAGAGTTCAGCTCAATTGCTGTACTAAGTACTTTATACAGATTATATTCTTCAATTCTTTTTTTTTTTTTTCTTTCTTTTTTTTTTTTTTGAGACGGAGTTTCGCTATTGTTACCCAGGCTGGAGTGCAATGGCGCGATCTCGGCTCACCGCAACCTCTGCCTCCTGGGTTCAGGCAATTCTCCTGCCTCAGCCTCCTGAGTAGCTGGGATTACAGGCACGTGCCACCATGCCCAGCTAATTTTTTGTATTTTTAGTAGAGACGAGGTTTCACCATGTTGATCAGGATGGTCTCGATCTCTTTACCTCGTGATCCACCCACCTCGGCCTCCCAAAGTGCTGGGATTACAGGCTTGAGCCACCATGCCCGGCCTTTTATTCTTCAATTCTTTTAGTCTGGGGCCTACAAATTGTCAGAAGATGACTGCTGTGTGGACATTTGTCATTTTCTTGGTTGCCCAGCCTCCATGTCACCATTATGCATTTGGGAAACAGGACATTGTGTGAAGCAGGGCCCTGGATCTCATTCATGGAAGCCAAAGGCCTTGATATCAGTTTTCTCTGATTATAATTCTGGAAAAAAGAGTGAAGAGCAGCAGGCAATGTGTAAAGTTTATTCAGTAAATTTTAGTAAATTTCAGTGGTGGTGGCATTCAGTATCTGGTGACAGTAATGGCAGGTAGGTCATCTATGGTATCCAGTCTCCAGGGCCAGAGCCTGAATAGCAGGGCCAGTGGCATTGCCAGTGTCCAGCAGAAGCATCCTTCCTCTGATGTGGTCTCCTCTGTGGATATGGCCACCTGGCCTCCCATGATGCCTGTCTGTATTCCTAGCCCAGTTCTCTATCCCAGGCATCCCCAGACTTTTTACACAGGGGGCCAGTTCACTGTCCCTCAGACCGTTGGAGGGCCGCCACATACTGTGCTCCTCTCACTGACCACCAATGAAAGAGGTGCCCCTTCCTGAAGTGTGGCTGGGGGGGCCGGATAAATGGCCTCAGGGGGCCGCATGCGGCCCACGGGCCGTAGTTTGGGGATGCCTGCTCTATCCTTTCTACTGATTCTTTCAGCTCCCCAGTACTCTTTCAAGAAATTCCTTTTCTGCTTTGGTTGATCAGAATCAGCTTTTGTTGCTTGCGACCAAGGACTCTGGCTAGCACATAGTCTTTAGGTAATGTGCAGCCTGAAAGAGTCCAATCTGCTTATTTTAGTATCTCTTAATAAAGTCACGCTTAAATTTGCAACTGGTCTGGGAGTTCTGTCTGGGCTCCCTTTAAGGCCCATACACTTCAGGCAAAAGAAGAAATACCGGGGAAAGGAGCTGTTGTCTCTTGACCGTCAAGTGTCTGCTGCCCCACCCTAATCCACCTTTCTTTGCCTCCTACAACTTTTTCACATTCACTCTTCCACCCACTCAACAAACACTTATTCAGCACTTACTATGCACAAGGCATTATGCCAGGCAGTAAGAGGAATCCAAAGATCAATAAGCTAACCCTGACAGTATACGCTTTAATTCTGAACCGGCAAACATACTTTCTTTTTGAAGTAGATAAAATTTAAAAATGGATCACTCTGTTGAAGGTAGAAGTGAAAGGGAACCCTTTTATCTTTGGGTTAGTGTCACTGGGGACAAGGTGACGTCCATTTTTTTTTTGTAAAAGTTCTAGAAATCAAATGGATTCCTTTGTTAGAGGTTTCCAGTCAAAAGCAAATAGCTCTTTAGAGATTGAGAAAATAATGCCTCTTCTAAAGTCAACGAGTAGATTGCTGCTTATCAAAATTCATGTGACTAGGATGAGAGATAGCAGAATTATTGCCTATGCATTAGAAATTTCACTCAAAATAAACTGACTCCTAAAACAGAATCAAGGAAACATCAGTTTCTGTTTTTTTTTTTTTTTTTTTTTTTTTGAGACAAGAGTCTTGTTCTGTCGCCAGGCGCTAGGCTGGAGTGCAGTGGCGCCATCTCAGCTCAAGCAATTCTCCTGCCTCAGCCTCCAGCGTAGCTGGGCTTACAGACATGTGCCACCATGCTCGGCTTGACTAATTTTGTATTTTTAGTAGAGATGGGGTTTCACCATGTTGGTCAGGCTGGTCTCAAACTCCTGACCTCAGGTGATCCACCTACCTCGGTCTCTCAAAGTGCTGAGATTACAGGCATGAGCCACTGCACCCAGCCAGGACTCAGTTTCTTTATCAGTCGGTTAGAATAGATGAAATATCAGAATTGAAGGGAACCTTAGAGATCACCTCCATCAGTTTTCAACTTGTACCTGACTTTTCTTTGAAGTATCTCTAATATGTTTCTCTGCTTGAATGCTTTCTTTTAGTGACAGGATACTCTCTCCAGGCAACTGATATTATTATTATTATTATTAATTATTATTATTATTATTGGGACAGAGTCTCACTCTGTCACCCAGGCTAGAGTACAGTGGCACAATCTCAGCTCACTGCAACCTCTGCCTCCCAGGTTCAAGCGATTCTCCTGCCTCAGCCTCCTGCGTAGCTGGGATTATAGGCTCCTGCCACCATGCCCGGCTAATTTTTGTATTTTTAGTAGAGACAGGGTTTTGCCATGTCGGTCAGGCTGATCTCAAACTCCTGACCTCATGATCCACCCTCCTTGGCCTCCCAAAGTGCTGGGATTAGGCATGAGCCACCACATCCAGCTAGGACAACTTTTTTGAAAAGTCCTCAAATTCCCTTGCTTTTCTCTTCTGCACACTAAACGACTCCTCTCCCCTTCAGTTGTCCTCATCTGGCACATTCAAGAGAAGACACTATTCTGGTCTTCAAGTTTTTATGGGTGTAGAGTGGTGGTTAAGCACCCTGAATGCTCAGATGGTCTGAGTTTGAATACTGGCCCTGTCACTTAGTAGTTGTGTGACCATAAACAAGTTATTTTCCCCTCTGTAGCTTGAGTCTCTCTCTCTTGAAAATGAGGATGATAATAATGATACCTATTTCTTAGAGAAACTGTGAATAAGATAATTGAGACAGTATAAGTAAAACATTTAGCGTAGTGCCTGGCCCTTAGTAAGCAATAGGGCTACTACCAGTAGTAATAGTAAGCCCTAAATTCAGCTCTAAAAATGAAAATAAGAATAAAGGAACTGGCAGATGAGAAAAGCTAATCTAGTCCGTTTCAGGAGCTACAAACAAGGTTCGGTTGCCCTGATGGAAACTTTCCATGCGTTTCTTAGCAATTATCACTTTTACTGGTGGATTTAATGTCTAGGACAGGAGCGCAGGAAGGCCAGGACCTCGTCTATCGTGTTAACTGTTGAGTTCTCAGTGCCCAGAAGAGTGTCTTGCTCTCAGTGGAGTGAAAGAATGGAGCAACGCCGTTATGTCATGGAAGAGACTGGCCGATGTGGCTAAGGTTGCGCAGGGCTCCCAGGAGAGCTGGGACAAGAGCCGAGGGCTCCTCGGCAGCCAACACTCAGAATTAAATCGAGGCCCAGCGCTAAAGTTTGGTGATTCGGACAGGAACACAGGTATTCGGTGACACCGGGGTCAGCATTCCCACCGCGTGGCCTAAGTGCCGGCTCCTGTTTTCGGGGTGACGAGCCCGAGCCCGGGGGGAAGGTGGCTTAATGAGAGGGTGCGCCAGGGTGGGTACCGGCGCTCCGCTAAACCCCGCCCTCAATACTTCGGGTTGGCTGCCAGCGAGGGCAAGGTTCCAAGCCGGCCGGGGCTGACTCCGGGAGCGGCGAACAGAAAGCAACCTGGTTCTAGAGACAATTAACAAAGGCTGGAGACCAGCCACATCTTTGCGGCGCACGCACGCACGCAAACAGCAGCGTGGGCACAGCCGCGCCTGCCCGTGCCCTCGGTGGGCACAGCCGCCCAGAGCGGCGCGGGTGCGGGGAGCGTGGGAGCGTGGCGACCGGCTCCGTGCTTGAGCGCCCGCAGGCACCTTGCGCGCGCGGGGTGAGTCCGCCTGGCGACTGGGGCCTGGTCAGGCAGGATGGGGCCTGGGAGGGGTGCGGGAAACAGCTGCTGGGAGGATCAGAAAAGGTAGGTGGAGCAGAGAAAGGCAGGATGCAGCGATCTCCCGGGTCCCAACTTGCTTGGTAGCTAGCTTTGTGTCTTGAGCCTTATGGGAATGTAAGCTACCTGATCCATGCGGCCTGACCTCGTCGTTTTACAGGTGGAAAACTGAGGTCCAGGGAGTTAAGCTGGCTTGGAAAAAAAATGATTATTTTCTATTCCTGTTTCTGTCTGCCTTCTTCCGTGTAGGATTGGAGACAGCTTTTAGTAAGAATCCATACATTGTAACAATGGAAAAATACAAACAATGGTAAAGAATCCTTGCCAAGAAAAATATAATTATGAATACACAGTCAAGGCCGGGGAAAAAAGAGAACAGAAATCTGTGATCCATAGGTGAGGTGATTTGGCCAAGGGCCCTCAGAAAACTGGTGCCAAAGCTGGGACTGGAAGTCAGAACAGTGGGCTCCTGAACGCCAGAAACTTACCAGGGGGAGTGAGGAAGCAGACAGCCTGCCAAAGCACTGGTTCTGTTTTTCTTTTTCTTTCTTTCTTCTTCTTCTTCTTTTTTTTTTTCTGTTTCTGTAAAGGCACTGGTTCTTAACCTGCTAGGGATCCCTGACCCCTTAAAGATCTGTGCTTACTGCCTGTAGAAGGGTTCACACAAAGGCTCGTGAGCAGTTTGAGATTTGACACGAATTTCTGCCGTAAGGAATGCCTGCAGGCCGGCACTCAGGTTTCAGAGCACTTTCTTTGGTTTTCTGAAGGGAGGCAGCTGGTGGAGGAGTCCCTGCTGTGCGTCCAGACAGCTAGCTGTGTGATCCGGGAAGCATAGTTTAACCTCTCCAAGGCCCAGTTTTATGTGTAGACTGGAGATAAGAGTGTCTGTTTCATCCTCCAGGTTGTTGTCAGACTTAAGAATGAGCGTAAAGGCCAGTGCCTGACATAATAGATGCTCAGTAAAAGTGCTGATGATTATAGGGTGACTATAGTTTACAATAATCTACTGTATATTTCAAAATAGCTAGATGAGAATAATTGAATGGTTCTAGCATAAAGAAAAGACAAATATTTGAAGCGATAGCTATCCCAGCTACACGAATTTGATCTTTATAAATGTATTAAATTATCACATGTACCCTGAAACTATGTACATCTATTATGCATTAATTTAAAAAAAAGTGATGACACACAAAACCCAGTGAATCAAAGCTGTGCTAGTTAGGAAAGGGCTGATGACTTGGCAAGAAACTGGGCTGTATCTGAAATAAAACACAATTAAAAAAAATATACACATGAGAAAATAAAGTCAGCCCTATTATGATTTACAAACCACACCACATACCTTTGTGATGGTATCCTAAATAAGGGTGCAGCAAGGCACTATCCTCAATATTTGACTCCAAGTCAAAAGCTGAAAGTAGAAACTACCAGATGCTGTAACAAGGACTGTTTATTGGCTTTCACTTGCCTCTCTCAGAGTCAGCACCTATAGAAGTTCGTTTTTAAATGAGAGGAAAGAGGACATCAACTGGGATCTGGGCAGCACCCACTCTTGCCCAGCAATAGAGCTTCGGCTGAATTTCTGCCAGGGAACAGGAGTTGCTGGCAGTTGGCTTACGTCCCTCTTGGATCAGCAGATTACTGTGGTAAACAGTGACTTGGCTGATTCTGCCCTAGATCAAATAAATGGCTTTTTATTTAACTAATGAAGTAGGGAGTGTGTTTTCATGTGCTATAACAGAAGCGAAATGGCATTTGTAGAGCTTGACTGTCCAAAGCCTATTGCTTGTTTATTGACAGGCTTAAGAATTTATTTATTTGTTTGTTTATTTAGAGACAGGGTCTCGTTGCTCTGCTGCCCAGGCTGAGTGCAGTGGTGAAATCAACCACCCAGCTTCAAGCAATCCTCCTGCCTCAGCCTTCTGAGTAGCTGGGATACAGGCATATGCCACCACACCTGGTGATTTTTTTTTTTTTACTTTTTGTAGAGATAGGGTCTTGCTATGTTGCCCAGGCTGGTCATGAACTCCTGGATGCCAGTGATCCTCCCACCTCAGCCTGCCAATGTGTTGGGGTTACAGGCATGAGCCACTGTGCCCAGTGGATTTTATAATTCTAATTATCGTTATTATTTTCTTAATTCTCTAATTCTGGAAAGCTTAAGAACTTTAAATCTATGGATCCAAACTTGTGAGGACAGAGCCTGGGCAGGCCCACTCATCTATATAAATAACTGCTTTTAAATAAAATACTGTGTAGGGCCAGGCTTGGAGGCTCACACCTGTAATCCCAGCCACTTCGGAAGGCTGAGGCAGGCAGATCATGAGGTTAGGAGTTCAAGACCAGCCCCTAACATGATGAAACTCCATCTCTACTAAAAATACAAAAGTTAGCCAGGTGTGGTGGCGCACGCTGGTAGTCCCAGCTACTCAGGAGGCTGAGGCAGGAGAATTGCTTGAACCCGGGAGGCAAAGGTTGCAGTGAGCCAAGATCGTGCCACTGCACTCCAGCCTGGGTGACAGAGCAAGATTCTGTCTCAAAAACAAAAAAACAACAAACAAATAAACAAAAAAATACTGTGTTGTCTCCTTCCAAATAGAGCTGGGAAAATATGGAAAAGGGCAAATAGCTGCTATGTGATTTGGGTTAAGGCACATACCACCTGTCTGGTGGGTTACATTCCTTTCCATGTATTTATAAAAGGGAGTTTTTCCTCCAGAAAAGAGAGGCAGAATGTGTATTTCTGTATGTGTATGGGGTGAGGGGATGTCCATTGCTCTCTTTCCACTTCCTTTCTAATCATTTATTTCTCAACCCAGAGAAGTCCTTTTCTGTAAGCACAGTGACTTGGAAAATTCCTTCCTTTCTTGGCTCTGTGGCTCTATTTTGTTTCACAGTAGTTTCTAAAATATTAGGATGTTTTTTGTAATTTGACTATGAACTCTTCATATGTTTCTATTTTTCTTTTTTCTTTTGAGATGGAGCCTCAGCTCACTGCAACTTCCACCTCTCAGGTTCAAGTGATTCTCCTGCCTCAGCCTCCCAAACTGGGACTACAATCATGCACCAACATGCCTGGCTATTTTATTTGTATTTTTATTTTTAGTAGAGATGGGGTTCTGTCATGTTGGCTAGGCTGGTCTCAAAACTCCTGACCTCAGGTGATTTGTCTGCCTCGGCCTTCCAAATTGCTGAGATTACAGATGTGATCCACCAAGCCCAGCCCGATTTTATGTTTTTGAAAGACCACCCCACTCTGATGCTGTGGATCCAGTCAGGAAGCTGTTGTACTAGTCCAGGAGAAAGATGGTGAAAGTTTAGACCCAGGGAGCCTTAGAGATGGAAAGCACAAACTAATGGATATCTTTAATAAAACAAAACAGAGCCCAAAGGTGGACACTGATCAACACTCTTTGAAGTTAGTAGTTTTATCAGTTTGCAGTCCTTATTCATGTCCTATCACTGCTCTCTATGCCAGCCTCCACCACTGCCTCTTATTCCATGTGTAAGTATGTCACAAGAGACTGACAACACCTTCCTGGTCTAGATACACCTGACTACAGTATTCCTTTGATCTACTGATCTAGTTGACTGTCAGTAAAAGAATGAGAAAAGTCTGGCATGACCTTTGTTTGTTTGTTTGTTTGTTTGTTTGTTTGTTTTTGAGACGGTGTCTCTCTCTGTCGTCCAGGCTGGAGTGCAATGGCATGATCTTGGCTCACTGAAACCTCTGCCTCCCCAGGTTCAAGAGATTCTCCTACCTCAGCCTCCTGAGTAGCTGGCATTACAGGCATGCACCACCATACCTGGTTCATTTTTGTATTTTTACTAGAGATGTGGCTTCACTATATGGCCAGGATGGTCTCAAACTCCTGACCTCGTGATCCGCCCACCTCAGGCTCCCAAAGTGCTGAGATTACACGTGTGAGCCACTGCGCCCTGCTTGACCGGTTTTTATTAAATTAACCCCTGCTGACTCCAAGTGATCTCTGTTTCCTTTCCTAATGGATAACAAACCATTTGTTTTAATCAAGTGGCAGAAACCTAGCTCAGAGTGGCTTAGGCAAAAGGCAGGTGAGGAATAAAAATGTATTTGCTTTCAGCTGAAAATATTGAAGAAAAAAATAATAAAAAATAAAAAAAGAAAAAAGTGTATTTGCTCATGTAATAAAGGGAATCAGTCTCTATCACGGTTGAAATGAATCATGCCATCATTTCAGTCTCTCTTTCAGTCTCTAGTTCTATTTTGAGGGTATTAGCCTTATTCTCAGTAAGGCTCTAGTATATAGTTCTTATTATCATGATCAGCTGTTCATGGCACCTGCTATAATATGAGGCATCTAGATCAGCCACGTGTCTTTAGGCAACTTCATACATCTGATCAATGGTAATGCTCTTTCCAATTTAGAAATTTCCAATAATAGAAACAGAAAACCATGGCTACTCTTATTGAGAGTTTACCATGTACCAGGAACTCTATTAATATTTTACTTGGATTATCTTAAGAAATCTTATAACAACCTTGTGAGAACGGTTACATAAATATCCTAGGAAAGCCAGCTAATGGATTGCAGAATCAGCATTTGAAATCAGGTTGTTCTGGCTCCAGGCCCTGGGCTCCTAACCTTCACCATGCTTCTCACTATCAATCTGTAGAACTAAGAAGAGGAAAGCACTGCCACCAAATAGTGTGCCTGTCTCTTACTTTTTCTGAACATCAGTCTTAAAATATGCTTCGTAGTGATAGTAGGGATGGAACTTTGGAAGTTATCCTTACAATTTTGTTGATTCCAGCTCTTTTGGGGGGTTAGAGTTCTGGAAGCTCTGTGCAGGATCCTCCCTTCTGACTATTGTGTCTATCTTTATAAACAAGGCTCAGTAGCCAGAATCCCTATGTGCACATTCTTATTTCTGTAGGTGTTCCCTCCTTTTATTCT